AAATTCCATATTCATTTATGTAAAAATATATTAATATATATATAATTATATAAAATTATATATAGTTAGTTTGAGCTTTTTTATTACCCCAAAGGGGTCCAAAAGGGCGTTTTGGAGGGACGTACCCAACCCTGTACATATGTCCCTGCCATGGGCTCATCGGCGTTTTCTCAGGGACGTATCCAACCCTTTACAATCAACATGCCATTATCAAAAATAAAAAATAAAAATAAACTCCAACAAAAAAGAAAAATATCGGCGTTTTTTCGGGACGTACCCAACCCTGTACATTTTAGTATGTAAACTTTCAAACAAAAATATAGAAAAACATCATCATTCTTGCTGTGACTCGCTATCTGGTGAGCCAGGAGCCAGGGGCCGTAACACGTGACGCAGTCCCTCTGCGCGTGATCCATCCGAATCCGAGCCGCCCGTTTTGCGTGTCGCTCCACGGTGCCTCCGCTTCCTCCGTGCGCATGCCACCGCCGCGGACATTATTTTCCGTTAATGTCAGCGGCGCGCCGCCGCCGCGGCAACGCACTTGAAAGATGTTCTCACATACTGCGGATACTCGAATATGCACATCCTCTCGCATGTATTCTCCTCAACATCGGTGATATATCTCACAACTCCGAGAAAAGTGAGCATGATAAAATCTTATCTCTCTCGCACCATTGAGAACGTGTTGCCTTTGGATCGTACTTGTTCATGAGATCCAGCATTGCCTGGTGTGAACCGGTATACCAGAAGAGTGCATTCTTCTTATCGCCGTCGCCGCCACAGCACGCTTTCGCCTATGCCCGGGCCATGGTGACCGCGCCTCCTCTACCGGGCGGCTCTTCGCTCCTCGGCCCCCCGCTACCCGCTCCCGTATTCCCCTGATCTCCTCTTCCTTCTTACTCAGCCTTTGTTTTTTCCTTTTCCTCTTCCGTCTCCATTAGTAGGCTCTTTTCTAGCTCGCTTGCTATCTCATCCTCTTCTTTGCTATCTGATTTGCTATCTGATCCTTTTGTTCTTCCATCATCTTCTCCCCTCCTCTCCTTTCTCCTCTTCTTCTCTTCTCCCTTTTTAATTCTTCTTTCCACAGATTTGTCTTCATCCATTTTGACCTTTAGTCTACTCCCTGCCCTCCTCCTTGCCTCTAATACTCTCCATTTCTCCTCTTCATTTCCCAGCCTCACCAGCATCGTGAGCCATTCTCCTCTCAGCCCTATTACGCTCACTTCCTACATTTCTACTCTTAACTTTAGTTTCTCCGAGAGCAGTTGCCTCACTTTCTCCCAGTTCGTTCCCTTTCCCATCCATCTGTTCCTCTCTACCCTTATTATTATGTTTTTCCTCCTTCTCTCATCTTCATTCCTCTCATCGTCGTCGGACCACCATTTCATTTCTTCTTGCCTGCCCCTGTTCTCTGCGCTTTCGTCCCTCTTCCTTTTACCCGCGCCCATTTCTAGCCTGCGTATTTTTCTTTTCAGGTTCTTTATCTCCTCTCTCTGGTCCTTTACTTCCTCTTTTAGTGCTCTCAGTGTTTCCTTTGCTTGATCCCTTATCATTTTCTCCAGCATCTCTCTCTCTACCGTCACCTTCGCTCTGAATTCCATTCCTTCCTTTTGTCCTGTGCTCCCCTTTTCTTTGACCTTATTTGAAATTAAAAATTTTCTTAGCCATCTATTTCTCAACCTCTTTTTTCTTCCTGTCCCCCCCACTCCTCATCTCTTCTATCGCTTTCATCCATTCCTCCCCCTCTCTCTTTTCACTCATTATCTTCTCCACCACGTCTTGCCAACTCTCTCCCTCCCAATCTTCCCATCTCGAGCACTCTTCCCAGACATGTTCCCACGTCTCCTCCTTCTTCTCACATATCCTGCATTTTTTGTCTTCCTCTTTTCCCCAGTATAGTCCCTCCCTAATCTCGTTGCCCAATCTGAACCTTGCGATTCTGTTCCATCTTGCCTCCTCCCAGCCCTTCTTTAGATATTCCGGAATCCCATCCTTCTTTATTCGTTTATACCACCTGTTGTATTTCGATTCCATAATCTTTCCCATTCTTTCTTGTTTTTGTTTTGCTTTCTCCTTGTGTTCTATTGCCTCTTCCGTCAGTTCCTCCTCCCTTCCCTTTTCTACCCCGACACCTTCCCAGTATTCCTTTCTCTCCTGCTCCCATCTTCCTATTATCCTTTCCTTCTTCCATCTTTCTTTCATTTCTTCCAAACATTTCTTTGCTATTTTTCCTCTTCTACCTTCTTCCAGTTTTCTTTCGAATTTCCATGCTCTCTTGCTCGCTCTGGCTCCCATTTTTTCCCTTTCTAGTTCGTCCCTGACCATGTACCCTGGGGTCCTCCAGTTTACACCGAGTGTCCATCTGAGGTATCTCTCGTGTATCCCTTCTACCTCCCTCCTTTCCTTCCACCCCCATATTTCAGCCCCGTATCCCATCACCGTTCATATCAGTGTATCATACAGCCAGATCCTTCTTTTACAGTCCTTTTTCCACATCCTTTTACCTATTCCCCACACTTCCCTCATCACCCTTGCTGCCTTCCTTCTTCTCTCTCTGATATGTGCCTTCTGCCTTCCATTCGCCATCAGCGTGTACCCCAGATATTTGAATTCTTTGACCTCTTCTAATTTCTTTCCCTTCCATCTCCAGTCATATTTCTTCTTCCTCCCTCCTCTTTTTCTAAATCTTATTATCTTCGTCTTCTCCGTACTCAGCGTTAGGCCTTTCCTGTCTAGGTATCCCTCAAGCCTGCTTATCATGGATCTCATGTCCTGTCCCTCCTCCGCTAGTACTGCTATGTCATCTGCGTACATTAGGGTGTATATCTTCTCCTCTTTTACACTCACACCCCCCATCCGCCCTTCCTCATGTGATCTTCTATGTCTGCAATTAGTAAGTTAAACAGTATCGGGCTTAACGGGCAGCCCTGTCTTAATTCCTTCGCCATCCAGAATGATTCCCCTTTTTCTTCTCCTCTTTTTACATTGCTTTTTGTTTCTCTCAGGACTTCCTCCACCCTATCTATCAGTCCTTGCCTTACTCCTCTCTCTTTCATTGCCTTAATTAGAACTTCCTTATCTACAGAGTCAAACGCCGCCTTGAGATCTACGAATAGAACTGTCATCTTCCCTTTTTCCTTTCCTAGATGTCTGTTTATCAAATAGTTTAGCGTAAATATCTGGTCCATCGTCCCCATTCCTTTTCTAAATCCTGCTTGGTTATCGGGAATCAAGTTCTTCATTTCTACTTCATTCCTTATCCTTTCTGCTAATACCGCCGTGTATATCTTGTACATTGAGGGCATAATCGTTATCCCTCTGTAGTCTTTTACCTCTTTTCCTTCTCCTTTCTTCACTAAAGGTATTATCTCACCCTCCTTCCACTGTTCGGGCCAGCCTTCTCCCCTCCATACTCGTTTACATATTTCCCAGGCCCACCTCACCATCTCTTCTCCTCCATATTTCCATATTTCATTCGGGATTCCGTCCTTACCTATTGCCTTTCCTGTTTTTAGTTTCTTTATTACATTTCTCACCTCCTCTAACTCTATCTCTTCCTCGTCTTGTCTGTCCCTCCCTCTTTTTCCTTTCACTACCCTGTTCTCCACGCCTCCCATTAGCTCCATAAAGTATTTTTTCCACTCTTCCAGCCCTATGTCTTCGTTTATCCTTTTCCTTCTTTTCCTTACTCTACCTATCAGTTCCCATACCTTACTTTCCGATCTCGCTTCTCCTATCTCTGTAATCATCCTTTCCTTCTCTTCCTTTTTCTTTCTTTCACATACTTCTCTGTATTTCCTTCTCCTTTCTCTATATCTTTCTACCTCCCCTTTCCCCTTTCTCCACTTTCTTAGTTCTGCCCTCGCTTCTTTCTTTTTCTCCTTGCATTCTTCATCCCACCATCCTCTTCTGTTCTTATTGGCACCCCTGACCTCCCCCTTTTCATTCTCCTTTAGTATTCCTCTTATCTTTGACACCCCTTCCTCTATCTCCTCCTGCAATTTTCTGTTTCCTCCTATCTTTCCTATCTTCTCAACGAAGTGTTTTCTTCCTTCTTCGCTCCATATTCCTCTTCTTCTTGTCCTTTCTATCTTTTCCCCTCTCTGTGTTCTCTTCGCTCCGCCACTTATCCACAGTATTAGCGGGTGATGGTCTGATTCTCTCTATCCCCTATTTCTAGTCTTTCAATTTTTTCTCTGCTATCCTCATCACCTATAATATAGTCTATAACTATTTCACCCTTTCCTCCCGTGTATGTGTATTCTCCTTCTTCGTCTCCCTTCGTGCCACCATTTAAAATCATCAATCCTCTTTCTTCTATAAATTCTAGTAGCGTCCTACCATCCTTGTTCACCTTCTTATCTTTAGAATTTCTCCCTTTTCCTTTCTCACTTTCTTCATCTTCCTCTTCCCTTCCTCCCTCCTCTCCCGTTCTCGCATTAAAATCACCTCTTATTATGGTCCTTACTCCTATTTTTCCCTCCTCTATGCAATCATTCAACCCTTCTAACTTCTTATCAATGTCTTTGTTTACATATATTCCTATTATTTTCCATATTTCCTCCCCTATTCTTAGCTTGACTTCAACCCTGTTTTCCTCTTCTTCCCTCCCTCTACCCTCCTTTATTTCTTCTATCCCTTTTCTTATACCTACTAGCATTCCTCCGCATGCTCTACCTTTCTTATTCCTCCTATTCGCTATTTGTACTCACCAGCCAAATTCCTTTGGTAGTTTCTCTTTCATCTTCTCCCATCCTTTCTTATCCATCCATGTCTCCATCATAATAATCACATCCCATTTCTTTACCCCATCCCAAAAGTCTCTATCTTTATTTATTATTCCCGCTACATTCCAGAATACCACCTTCGTCTCTTCCCTCCCCCCTTTTTCTTCCTCCCCTTTCTTTATATCTACGTCTTCCTCAACTCTGGATTCGCATTCTGCCGCTCTCCCTCCCTCCTCCCATTTATTTTCCCCATCCTCCTCGCATTCTTTGTTTTCATTCTCTTCGTTGTGACCTATGAAAGTCTTCCCTCTCCTCCAGTCTGCCTTTGCTTTTGTTCCATCTCCATTCCTTGTTGTCCTCCCACATCTTTTGATAACCAATTGTCACTCTTTTTCCTTTCTCTCTCTTCTCTCTTGCTATCTTTCTTATCTCTGTTTGTATTTGTCTTTCCTGTTTGGTGAGATCGTCATCCAAAAAGCTTCCATATTTCCTTCCTAGTTCCTTCTTTTTCTTCATGATGTCTCTTTTAGCTTCCCAGTTTTTGCATTTCAAGAGTCTCATTTTGTATTCCCCGTTTCCTATTTCTTGTATTTCTTCTATGCTTCTTTCTGTATTGTTTAGTTCTTCCATCAACTTTTCGAAATTTTCTTTTCTCTCTTTAACGTTTCTTAACTTCTTCTCCTTTACGATTATATTATTTTTTCTCCTTCTTCTTTCCGTCATCTCCACACTTTTTTCTATTTCCTTCATTTTTTCTATCATCTCCTTGCCTTCATTCTCCTCTGCGCCTTTCATCTCTAATTTTTCTATCTTCTCCTCCATCGTTTTTACCTTTTCTTCTAGTGCCTTTTTCTGCCTTTCCCATATTTCCTCCCTTCTCTTCCATTCCTCCCTTACTCCCTTTATTTCGTTTTTTATTTCTTCTTTGTCTTTTTTCCTTTCCTCCTCCTGTTCTTCCATTTTCCTCAGTATCTCTTTTAATAGATCCTCTGTCGCCATCTTTCCTTTACCCTCTTCTCCTTTTTTTATCTTCGCTGGCGGTGATCTGTTGGTCCTTCTCGTTTCATTAAATTTGTCGAGAATTTCTTTCTCTGCTGCCCTGGCCGCTTCTTCCTCTAACTCTTTTCTTTTCCTTTTCAAAATGAGATCTTTGACCGATCCTAGGCTGTCCGCCCTTCCTCTTTGTTTAGCAAGCTCCTCCGCCTTTGTAGGCCTGCCTCTTGCTTTCCTCTCCCCTTCGTCTTCCCTCTTCTTTTCTATCCTTCCGTGCTGGTCAATCTCTATTCCTAATTCCTTCTCTGCCTCCATCCGCCGCTTTTCCCTTAGCCTTTCCCTCCTATTGGTTATCTTTCCTATGCCTTTTTCCTCTTAACTGCTTCCTCCCGTTCTTAACCCTTTCGCCTCCGCCCTCTCGCTCCTCCACGCCTCCCTGTTCCGCCGCTCTTGATCTCTCTAACTTTCTCCAATCCTTTTTCCACCTCGAAATTGCTCTCTGCCACACGCACACCTGTTGCTATCTACTCGCCGGAACCGGAAGTCCTATAAAATTATATATAATTTTACGTGAAGAATCAGATATAATTTTATATAATTATATAGAATAATATATATTTTATATAATTATATATTTTAATATATATTTCTATATAATAATATATAAATATATATGTTGAAATTTTCTGATTTATACAAAATTATGTATGCTTATATATAAATATATATAAATATATATACTTATATATAATTATACTGAGAGAAAATATACTGCTTAAACACCTTCTTTAAAAAGCATCCCAGAAGGAAGTGGACATGAAGAAGTCCGGACAGCACTATCAAAAACGAAATAGACTATGTGCTAGCCACTGACAAGCGCATTTGTGCAGATGTGTCAACCCTAAATCGTTTCGACACGGGCAGCAACCACAGGTTGGTGAGAGCAAAAGTCCTAGTGGATACTCGGCTCGAGAGAAAACGTCTCATGAATAAAAAGGTCAGGCCAACATCAGCAGAGCTGAGAGGGAAGGAAGAAGAATATAAGACTACGCTCGAACAGAAACTAAAACCAACCAAAAAGCTACAAGAACTAGAACTAAATGCGTTGTCAACACAAATCACAAACAGCATCCGAACACAGTAAAAAAATCGTCCAAATGTTAAAATTTTCTTGTGTTACCAAGATTTGACTATTATTTCAATGTAAAATTAACATACAACAGCTATGTTATTATTTTCGTAACATTTTCATGTGTTATATTAATGTCAACGTGATAACTTAACACTTTATGTATGTCATTTAAAAATTGAATATTATTTTAAGTTCTTTTAACATAATTATTTCAAAAAATCAACACGCCTTAAAGTTATTTTAACATAAACAAAAGTTAAAGTAAATCTTCAAATAATCGTAAACTTTGACATACAAAATAATCAAATTTACTACAATCAAATATTCAAAACAACATTTCTCTTAAGTTGAAATAACTATCGTTTATTTAAATATGTTATATCGACATTTTTTACAAGTTATTTTTACATTATACTTAAAGTTAAAAGAACAAATATAAATGTAAAATATAATGTAAAATATAAATGTAAAATATAATGTAAAATATATGTCAATAAATTAACATTTCTAATTTGTCAACAAGTGACACACGATGAATGAGTTATTTTAACTCAAAATTTAGAGTGGATTTTCTGGGACATTTGAAAAATGTTACGATTAACATTTTATTTTTTACTGTGAAGTGCCGTGAGAAAAGTGTGCTCACTTCAGAAGCGTGGGAACTCGAAACTTAGTCCAGACACTGAAAGGCAAATCAGAGAAAGAAGAAGAACGAGCAGGGATTCACCGGGATATAAAGACCTAAACAAGGCCGTAAAAAAAGCGATTAGAAAAGACAAAAGAGCACACAACACGCGAGCAATCAAAGAAGCCATTAAAAACAATATGATCATGAGAGTTCTGCGCTCCAAACTGTTAAAAAGGAAGATAGTAATCCATAAGATAAAGAACAATCTAGGAGAGGTAGTAACAGAGAGGGACGGAATCGCAGCGATCATTGAAGACTTCTACCGAAAACTTTACAGCCAATCAGCTCCAAATCCGAACCAGCAAGGACGACCGAGACAGACAATTCTGAACGTAGGATCCGAAGATTTACCAGACATTAAAAGTCAGAACTGGAAGCAGCATTGAAACAACTAAAAAACAACAGAGCACCAAGGGAAGACCGGATAACAGTCGAGATGCTCAAGGTTGGAGAGGAAGAATTAGAAAAAGCACTCCTGGTACTACTGAACAGATGTCTGAAAGAAGGCAGGATCCCTGACTCGTGGCAGAACGCAGAGGTCATCCTGCTCTTTAAGAAGGGCGACTGCACGAATATGGAAAATTACAGACCCATTAGTCTACTCTCAATAAGTTGTCTACTCCTTTATAAGTTGTTATCCAAAATAATAACGAATCGTTTAAGCCAGAAGCTCGATTTCTACCAACCCATAGAACAGGCAGGATTCAAAAGGGGGTACAGCATGAATGACCATATACAAACAGTACGCACACTTATAGAAAAATGCACCGAGTACAATATCCTACTGCATATGGCCTTCATAGACTACCATAAGGCCTTCGACTCAGTTGAGACATGGGCAGTGCTCGAAGCATTGGATAAAGCACGAGTTGACTCTGGATATTCTAACTTGATCAAATTCATATACGAGCATGCCACCCTGCACGTTAAAATGGAAGAGGATTGGACTACAGGTAGAATCCCTATCAAGAGGGGTGTGAGACAGGGCGATACGATTTCAACAAAACTTTTTACCTTGGCGCTGGAAGATGTATTTGGGAGGCTAACATGGGATCAAAAAGGCATCAATATTGATGGGAAACGTTTAAACCATCTCCGTTTTGCGGATGACATTATCATATTCAGCAGCGAGGCAAACGAGCTTGCAACAATGATACAAGAACTCAGGGAAGCTTTCCAAGCAGTTGGCCTAAGAATGAACCTCCAAAAGACGAAAATCATGAGCCCCACCACTAGTTAGCATCGATAACCACACTCTCGACATGGTAGAAGAATACGTGTATCTAGGGCACAAGATCAAGCTAGGAAAAAATAACCAGACAGCTGAGATCACTAGAAGAATCGGCTTGGCGTGGACAGCGTTCGGCAGACTAAGCTACATCCTCCGAGAACCAAAAATCCCAATCAACCTTAAACGGAAAGTGTATGATACGTGCATATTACCAGTTGCGACATATGAACTCGAAACAATCACTCTTACAGCGAACAGCGCAAACCGACTAAGAATCTGTCAGAGGGCAATGGAGCGAGCAATGCTGAAAATCAGCCTGAGGGATAAAATCCGAAACGAAGAAATAAGAAAAAGAACAGGAGTTGCCGACGTGGTTGAACGAGCAAGTAGACAAAAGTGGCAATGGGCGGGACATGTTGCGAGAAGCAACACCAAATGGACCAAGGTCCTGATGCAATGGAAACCAAGAGAGTCCAAAAGAAGCATTGGCCGACCACAAACGAGATGGCGAGATGACATCCAACGCCACGCAGGAAAGAGGTGGATGCAGACAACACAGGAGAGAAAGACATGGAAGGAAATGGAAGAGGCCTATGTCCAGGAGTGGATGAAAACAGGCTAGAGAAAAAGATATATAATTATATAAAATTTTATATAATTTTATATAAGAATCTAGATATAATTACATTAAATTATATAAAAGAATACATATTTATATATATAATTATGCATAATTTTATATCTTTTTATATAGTTATATATAATTTTTTTTCCCGGGCGGGAACTTTTTAGAAAATGCTTCAGTATGTTCAAAATTATTCAAAAAATATTTTAGAAAAACCGGAACTGCGACATTTCGTGTAGCATATTACTCTCTCTAAATACTCGGCTTTCGGGTGGTGTTAATTTATAAAAAAATCATACAACATTGCTAGTGTCGGGAATTCTTTAGAAAATGCTTCAGTATGCTCAGAACTATTTGAAAAATATTCTAGATAAACCGGAACTGCGACATTTTGTACAGTATATCACTCTATTCTCTCTAAGTACTCAGCGTTCGGGCGGTATTAATTTATAAAAAAAATTATACAATATTGCTAGTGTCGGGAACTCTTTAGAAAACGCTTCAGTATGTTCATAACTATTCAAAAAATGTTTTATATAAACCGCAACTTCGAGATTTCGTCGGCATCTTACTCTATGCTACCGAAAACTAACAGATAATTTTTTTAATGAACTTTTTTTGGCAAAATCACCAGAACTATCGTTGAAAAGTATCAGGAACTATAGAACTCGACTGCATGCAACAAGAACTCCCTTCTATTTTTGATCTGCTGGAAAATAATATGCCAACTTCACAGACACGACGGCGTTTGCTTCTATTTTTTTAGCTTTTTTTGAAAAAAACATTAAAAAAATTAAAAACATAAGTTGGTCCACTGTAAGCTGTGTGCTTGAACATTTTTATATATAACAGGATTTTTAAGAATTTTTTAAGATTTTTCCGACGCAAATTCTTTGTATTTTGAAAAATTGCTTCAAAAAATTTGAAAAATAAAAATCCTGTTATATATAAAAATGTGCAAGCAACAGCCTACAGTGGATTAACTTTGCTTCTAATTTTTTTAATGTTTTTTTCAAAACATTGAAAAAAGTTTGAAAAAAGCTCAAAAAAAGCTTTAAAAAAATAGAAGCGGACGCCGACCCACTACTCTGGGTCAAGGCTTAAAAGTTCTGATATCCAATATAAGATTTTTAAGTATTTTTTCAGATTTTTAAATTGTAGACAACAATATGTTGGTTTAAAAAATTATGAGTAAATCTAATTTATAAAACAAATCTTACAGTTATCATTACAAGATTTTTGAATACTACAAAAATGTTTTACATAGAAGTATAAGCAAGAAGGAGACGTCAGAACCAAAGAAACGCCACTAATCCGTTTGATCATCGATGTCAAGCAACGTTGGACACGACTGCTGCTTGGATGGGTAACCGCTCTAGAGAAAATGGATAATCAAAAGATATGCAGAAATTTGTATACCTTTTCTATACTCAGTCTGTATGGTATTTTGGCTTTATCCGTATATAGAGATTCAATATTGTTGCGCACGTGTCAAGACGCCCGGTAGAAGCCCGAAAACCAGTCGCGAAGCGCTGCGTGACGTCGAGCCTGACGACGAGCTGTTGCGTTGGTTTGTTTATATCCCGCACAGCCTCGAGTGAAAAATCTCTCGCGCGTGCGGAATCGGCCATCTGTCGCACAGATGACGCGCGCGCAATAGGCCACTTTCCACGCACTTTGTAATATAAAATAGGGTGTGTAACACGTGCGGTTTGAGAATTGGACACGAGTGCGGGTGATTGCACTCGCCTTCGGCTCGTGCGTCCAATCCGCACTCGTGTCCAATTCTTAACTTCCCGCACTTGTTACACAAATAACTATTACATTTTTTTCCCGTGGGTAGAGGGGAAATGCCTCGCGCACGCCCGGCCCCGGCCACCGGGCCACCGGGTTGTGTGGGGCTTGCACCCACTAAAACCCCTCTCCTCTAAACATAGCACGCTGGACAACAGTTACGATACGTGGAACTACACAAGGCATGACATCACGTACCACAACAGTCTTCACGCCGAGGCGACAGAAAGACGTAAACTAGACAAAGACCACACGAATAGGTTACCGCCAGAAATGCGCCTACCCCGGCAGAAGAGATCCCTAGTCGAATGAGACGGCACTCCGTGCCGCCATTCGACCGCCTCAGAGGGCCCTCCTGATAATAGCCGCGGGCAGCCATATCATTGAGGGCTTTCTTTATTGGTTGCGAGACGCTTCCCCAAAGAGAGCCCGCATCTCCAGCACAAAAACGTACCCGAACTACAGAACGTGTACGAACAAAACTTACAGAAACCCTCTATCCGGATAGAGGGTTCCACACCACATAAAAAACACGAGCCCTATCCTTGGGCCCATCAACGCCGTGGGTATTATACCCGTTCCCGATAGAAAGATCCAAAGATCTCCAACTCTGGCCAAGGTGAAGCGCTTGGCGGGAGAAGAGTTGCGCCCCTCCCCAAGACCCCGCCCGAAGGTGGGGCCCTGGGGAAGGGCGCAAAGAACATAAAAACGAGGCGCACCGCTACAAAGACCCAGAAATCCTCAGGGGGACGACCAACCGCACCCCGCAGCAACAACGAGGCTCGTGACTCCCATTGCCTAGCAATGGGGTCAGAGCCCCGAAAGCACAGCGGTGAGCAGCGGGCCCACGGCCGACCAACCCCCAGAGGACCCCGGACCCAACAGCAACGGGTACCCCGGAACATATAACACCGGCAAACGGACAGAACAATCACGCCCGCAAGAAAACGCGGCGTTCCGGACAGTCCCAGAGGAGCGGCGACCGCCGACCGCCCCCGAGCCACCCCCCCCAGGGATCCGGGAGCGTCGCCGAAACGACGCGCCGGACCCCCAGACGGGAGCAGCCTGAAGACCGGCCGGCGATCCCCCCCCCCCCCAAGAGACGCCGAGACTGACCCGCGAGAACGCACGCCGCAAAATAATATAATCAATCGCAGGTCACATAAGTAAAACGAATATTTTTAACGTAGAACGTGAACGCAGTTAAAGACAGTTCGAATACTATGGGGGGAGATCGTCTTCCCCAACCGCAGGATCTTGTTGTCTTCGCCTTTCATCCTCTTCTTTTGCGCCGCAAAATTCTTTCAGTGAAGGCTGAAAAGGCGTTCCACGCCTCGCAAGATTCACACATCCTCTCAACAACGCTGACCAAAGATAAATCTTGGCCGATAACCGCCGTCAGGTTTGTTTCTGCCGTCTGTCAGATTCTTCACTGGGCCTTCGTGTCGAACAGACGTGTTCACGAGCCCTTCGTTGGATTTGCTAATACCCATTAAACGAGTTCTTTTTTACTAGAGAGAGTCATTATTCCCGAAAACAGGATTGCGCGCCGCGTTCGCGAGTTTGAGTGTGTGTGAGTGCAGCGGAGTAAGAGGTGGTCTGTCCGTCGGTTGATCCGGGGGGTCCGCTGGCGATGACGGAGCCTGGAAAGCTCGTGTCAGCACTGTCTGACACGCTGTGCTTCGCGTTTCCGTGATGCGGATCAGGTGGAGGGCCGGTGGTCGCGAGATGCGGCAATCTCGCTTCCTGAGGGTCAGTCCAGCGGGCCTGGACAACGCACCTCCGGGAGCTCCAGTGGAATGAGCTTCCACGGACGTATCGCCTGGCCCTTGTCAGGCTCCCGTCTCTTCACCAGCCGCTCCTGCGGCACTGGCTGCTTGACTGAGCGAGGTGTTGATAGGCCCGGTCTCTCCTCGTGCCGCTCCTGCGACACCTGTTTAACGGGCTCTGCCCTTTTCACGGGCCGCTCCTGCGGCGCTGGCGGGTGGGAGAGACGCTTCCTCCGTCTCTGGCTTCGCGTCCTCGTTCGGCACCTCTTCCCTCTGGTCGTCGTCAAAGTGGTGCCGCGCCGCGCCTCCGCTTCCACAGTGCCGGGCCCGGAAGGGGCGTCCGGCTTGGAGGGAACAGCGGTCTCCACGGTGGCTCCAAGGGAGTGCAATAAGCGGAGGAAAAGTCTTTCGACGCTTAAGGACGTTCTCTCGTCCTTATACTAGAAAAAATCGATTTTCTTAGGATTTTCTTGAAACTGTGAATATACGTTAATTTAGGTGTGCTTTATGCGTGGTATAAATTTCAGTACCTCTTCCGGAATAAAAAATAAAGATACTAAGCCTCAAAGTTTCAAAAAAAAATTTAAAATTCCATTTTTTTTAGTTTTGACATTTTTTCCTTATAGAACTCGACGAGAGGAGCAACTTTAATTCTTTTGTTATATTATAATATTTTTTATACCGGAAGAGGTACTGAAATTTATACCACGCATAAAGCACACCTAAATTAACATATATTCACAGTTTCAAGAAAATCCTAAGAAAATCGATTTTCTCTAGTATAAGGACGAGAGAACGTCCTTAAGTGCGATTGAGCAGAGGAGAAGTCTCTCAACGCTTAACTGCGATTGAGCGGAGGAGAGGGTATCTCACTCAACGCTACAAAATAATTATGGTTCGACTCTCTCAACGCTTCCTCGACACGAGATCGTGGAGTGTAGCGGTAGAATTCGATAGCTGGTCCTTGCGCGGCTCGCCTTAAATCGCCGCACGATCGTACTTTAAACGCGAGTAAAGGTGTGTGTGTCGGCGACGCGCCGCGGCGAGCCGCGGAGTCTGATAAGCGCGTGTTGGCCGGGCGTGCAGTTGTCAGGCGCGCGCGATGAACGTTCGACTTTTCGAACAATATAAGATATTACAATTTTTTGACGCGCAAAAAATTTTATTTTTGACCTTCGAAAACACGTTTGCCTTGATAAAAATCACAACATTGCACATACCCTCACTAAACTTTGTTAGTCACGTGGGCACCATAAGCCGCCTTTACAGTATTAATGGCAAGTTCCCACAACATACAGATTTCGAGATATTGCAATGACGACTCGCCCCGGTGACGACTTCGCCCCGGTGACGACTTTGCCCCGGTCTCTTTTACCTATATTGAATCTCTATATACGGATAAAGCCAAAATACTACATAGACTGAATATACAAGATATACAAATTTCTATATACCTTTGAATATACTTTTTGTCTAGGCCAGTCTAGGGTATACACGTGTATATAAAATGTGATTTGCACTATCTATATAAGTATATCTATATTTGAAGGTTCATTTATATATCACAAGTACATACATACAAATATACGGGATGGTCCATTTAAAACAGTATGGTTGAATAACTTATAAAAAAGGAAGATAAAAAAATTTGTCAGATAAAAATTATGCGCTAAGTCCGAAGACTCGTGGATATCGCAATTTTGCCACGCGCCGGTGGCCTGCTTATATTCCGTCTCCAACTAAGATTTACTTACGAGTTAGTCTTACCGCCATGCGTCGCCTACCCAGGTAGCACAACGTCGTCACTTAGACGTCGTCTTTTTTACGTACGCATTCGCCAGAACGTACGTCAAACTGACGGTCAGTATGATGTCTAAATGACCCTATATTGACGGCCATTTGTCACAGCATAAGTGACGTCATTGGATAACGTCAAATTTACATCAGTATATGACGTAAGTTTATAATAATTTTAAAAATGCTCTAAAAATGACATAAATATGAGTCATTTAAAGGTATGTAAATGCCGTTATGCTTTTGTGAATTAAGAATTTTAGAAAAACAAGAAAAAAAGAAAATACATTTATTATGTATGGCGTGTGTGCATACAGCCGCACGGTCACCCATCCAACTCAGTACCGCACTTAACGTTGCTTGACATCGATGATCGAACAGACTAGTGGTGATCCTTTGACTCTGGCGCTTCCTTGTTGCTAATACTTCTATATAACATATCCTTATAGTGTTTAAAAATTGTGTAATGATAATAACCGGTAAATATTAAAAATAATAACGTAATTACAATTAATGTACAATAATTATTAATATAAAATTCGTATATTTAACATAATATAATATTAATATAATAATGTTAACAATATATGAAAACGCCTAAAGACGCTACCTGACAAAATAAAGAATTTTTTTAATAAATCGAATCAAAGTTGAAAAATAATTAGAAATCAAATTTAAAGAAACATAAATCTAAAAAAAATCAATCTTTACTTTATGTATGTGCATATATGTTCACGGAGTAAGTTATAGTACTATATTTTCTATTGTTCTTATAATATTTCTGCAATGTTGTTCTAATATTCCAACGAAATGTTGCAATTGTCTCTACAACATTGCATTGCAACTTTCCAAGGAACACACCAAAGTCAACAAATAGTCAAAATGACTGTACTTTTATTCAAAATGGTCACGCATTTTCTGTATGACGAAAAATTGACGGTCGTAATAAAGTCAAAATTATATCAAAATGTTTTACCATCATTTTACCATCATTTTGACTTTATTGTGACTTTCACATGTATATATATATATATATATATATATATATATATATATATATATATATATATATACAATATATTTATTTATTTATTTGTATTATAGATCTGCGATTACGATTTAAGAATAACAAATGTCAACGCGCGATATGCTGGGGCTACTCATGATGCATATATTTGGAGAAACTCAGCTATCAATGCAAAAATGCAACGTAGATATATTGAAGGTGTGAACTGTTTCCGTTATGAATGTTGGCGCTTTATCTATTTTGTTCAATAGTATATTTTGGCTTCTTTTGTAGGAGACAGCAACACATGGTGCATTGCAGATTCAGGATACCCGCAGCAACCTTGGCTAATGATACCCATTACAAATGCGTTGCCCATCACACTAGAAGGCCGTTATACCGCAGCTCTTGTTCGAACTCGATCTTGCATTGAAAGATGCATTGGAGTACTCAAAGGACGATTTCGATGTATTCTCGGAGAGAGGATGCTGCATTACACACCTAGAGTTGTAGCGCGTATTATTATTGCATGTGTAATCTTGCACAATATTTGCACGGAGGGACGACTACCAATTAATCAGTACGTTAATGAAGAAGTAGAGGCTTATCCCTATAATGCCGATGCTATGCAGAATGAAAACATAGATCTTTCAGATCCACTGGCGAGAAGGCGACTCATAGAAACATATTTTACGGACAATGTTTAAGTACAACAATAGTTAATAGTACGAAAGATATGCTAAAAAGAGTTTATAGTGACACATGCAAGTTTTCTGAATATTGTTTTATTATAAAAATGTATTTTTACTTTACATATTATAAACATGTATTTTTACTTTACATATAATACTATTTTGTACTATAATTAACAAGTATCCTCTTCATTTTTAACTGAGAAGCTAGTAATAGCTGCAATACTCTTCTTCAAATATTTCTTAAAACTTATTTTGCACTTTAATCACATCTTAACGTAAATATATGAAATATATAATATATAAAATATATTTAGGATTGAGTATGTTGAGTTTGAACTTAAAATACAGAGCAGCACATGTACTATTCGGACTAAACTTAATTGTGAAAGAAAGAAAACTACTAAACCAGTAAGAATATCTAAAAGCGGTGAACGGAATATCTGGAATATGCAGTTTTTTATTTTACTCCTGTCCATTGCTTTTTCCATCATTTACGAAAATTAAAAAAAAATAAATTTTAGATCTAGACAAAATATAACTTAGCGCATTACTTCGTATTCCTATTATAAAAACAGTTTCTATCACAAGGATATGGTATGTACTTTCTCATTAATCTTAATAAAAACTTAATATATAGCACTTTTTTTGGTAATAATTATATCACAATCATGATTTTGTGATTAATGGATAAATCTATTTCTGATTAAGTAAAAGTTATTCCTTGCCCCCGACAAAATCCGAGTAGAATGAAAAAAAATTTTTTTCAAGTCTATGGCAATTCTTCCAATATTGCTATCAATGCTTTTGAGAACATCTAGAGTATTGTTGTTCATTCTTTCGATCTGACACGATAACTCGATTTTTTTCTTACGGCTACTAGTTACATTTGGTGAACGGACATTAGTTGTATTCTCCTTAGTTATATTCTCGTTCATTTCATCAATGGAGTAGTTATCAATGTCTTCGTACTTCCTTTTTTGTACATTTTCGGTGTTCGATTTTTGTTGTGTCAAGGTAACTGTTTCTGAGCTTGCATTTATGTTTTTTCGTGTCTTCTGCATTGGATTCTTCTAAAATTATAGTCATTATTATAAATTTGTCCTAATTTTATCCGTGATTAAATCAATTTTAGATGTGCGTACCCTCTAAAGAATATGAGTGTTTGAATATTATTCAAAAGTCTAACAAGTTGAATAATTCTACGTTTAAACTAATTCGATGTATGAGCTTTGATGTATACTAAAGAGCATACTTGTTTTGGAAGACCATATTCCTGTACTCCTTCATCACCATTAAGTGCCGTCTGGCCCATTAATTGAAGAAGACGCAACTCAATATCGAATAGCAATAATCCACAGCTAGGACCACCACCGGTACCAGTTTAGCTCTGGCGAATAATTGAATGCTTCTGTTTGTATCGAATCGAATTTGCCGGTCCGCACCTTACGCGTCGGAACGCTATCTCCCGATCGGGTAGTCACTCCGCGAACGAGGAGAGGAAGTTCAAAAATTAACTGAGGCGTCGTTTTGTAGACTTTCACTTTATTTTACAATAAGCTTGCGCTCGACGTGTCGCTCTCGATAGTTTCTCAAGGCTCACTGAGCTCCCGGCCGAAGCAAGCGAAGCGATCGCGGCCGGAGCTCCGAACTTTTCCGCGAGGA